ACTGTATCTGTGCCTTATAAACAACATCCCTGACTGTACCTGTGTATATATACATACTTTATTCTACATTCATGACTGTACCTGTGCCTTATAAACAACATCCACGGCTGTACCTGTCCAGTACACACACTTTACTCTACATCCATGACTGTACTTGTGCCTTATGAACAACATCCCTGACTGCACCTGTCCAGTACACACACTTTATTCTACATCCATGACTGTACCTGTGCCTTATAAACAACATCCACGACTGTACCTGTTCAGTACACACACATTATTCTACTTCAATGACTGCATCTTTGCTTTATTAACAACATCCAAGAAAAGTTATTCAAGGCTCTATTTAAAGTTTGTTCTTTTTCGTTTGTGAGCCGAACCCCCACCCCCAATGCAACCCCCACCCCGTCAAAAAAATTGAATCATATGCCTGCAAGAAAGCGTGGGATTTCGACTTTTGTTTTTAAGAGGAAATACTCCTTCTTTCGATATACTCCATCCTCGCCTTCACAACTTCTGTCAAGTTTTATTATTATTATTGTAGAAGAGTTTATAAGTAATGGATAAATTATTTTAAAACCAGTGTCAAGAAGTTAACTGCTCATTTAAACTCTTCTCATAAAGTGGGGGAAGGGTTAGACAATTTTATAATTTGAAATCGGGCTTTAAACATAACGAGTGAACCAGATTTTCAAATACTCATGGAAATGGATAAATAACCATCAAATCTCTCCGTATGTTTAACTTATGTAAAAGTCAACTGACATATTAGATTCATCGGCAATAAAATGACTATTTTTGCTGCTTTTAGTCTGTAAACATATGTTCTACATCCTCATCCCCCCCCCCCCCAAATAACTCACTCCCCTGAAACAACAAACAATTGGTATAAATTTGAATTTGTGAAATAACAATTCATAATACTTGAAAAAGGAATTGTTGTTTCAGTGGAGGGGGGGGGGGATAAAAATATTTTCCGTTGATTTCTATAGAGATGAAGTTTTACCAAAAATATAGACTTATCTCTCTTTGTTTTCCCAAATAAGTTATGTTTTTTGATAAAATTCACATAAATATTCGGTATATAAATATGAAAAAATCATTCCAATATGTTAACTTTCTAAATTAACTCTGCGATAGGTGGCAGAATTTTACTATCATTCTTGCTATCATATGGTTTATTCAAGCATGCATATTAAAGCTATTGAGACAAGCCTTCTGCATTAGCAATACTAGCCCCCTACCGGCAAGTGTAATCTGGTTCCCATTAAAAATTGAAAATGCTGTAATTCTGTCAAAAAATCATTGAAGCGGAATATAATGCAAACTTTATCTGTAACTCATCAAGATACACTCACATACCAAACAACAACTCAATATCTGCAAACGTTTTAAAAAAAAGTGTGGAAAACCCTTAAAAATTAAAAAGGTTGTAATTCCCTCAAAAATCAATGAAGCGGAACGAAATTTAAAACTTGATCTGTAACTCATCAATACACACTAACAAAATCAGCTTAACTGCAAGCGTTTAGAAAAAAGTGCGGAAAACCAAGTGGGACAGAGTGACAGAGGGACAGCTAGGCGGACAGACAGACGGACGGACAGACTCAGAGGAAACCTATCGTCCCCTCCGGTTTCAATTTATTTTATTAGTTGTTTATAGAAACCGGAGGGGACGATAGGTTTCCTCTGAGTCTGTCCGTCCGTCCGTCTGTTGGTCTGTCTGTCTGTCAGTCTGTCCACTTGGTTTTCTGTACTTTTTTCCAAACGCTTGCAGATATTGAGCTGATTTTCGGCATGTGAGTGTATCTTGATGAGATACAGATCAAGTTTGCATTTCGTTACGCTTCAGTGCTTTTTGACGGAATTACGACCTTTTCATTTTTTCAGGGTTTTTCTGCATTTTTTTTCTAAACGCTTGCGGATATTGAGCTGATTTTTGGTATGTGACTTTACCATGATGAGTAATAGATGAAGTTTGCATTTCGTTCCGCTTCATTGATTTTTGACGGAATTATGGCATTTTCAATTTTTAACGGGAACCAGATTACACTTGCCGGTAGGGGACTAGTATTGCTAATGCAATACTCTCAGAATGCTTTTTCTTGATGAAAGGGCAGATTAATTACTCTTTTTACATAAATGTACCACAAAAATAGAACTCTTTAATGTGCAGTGTATAGAGGGCTCTTAAGCACATGAAAAAAAAATCCAACTTTTTCCACATTTTTATCCTCCTCTTTATGTCATGTTTCATCATTGGCTTATTTCTTAATTCCTTTGAATGCCATTTAAACATTGAATTGTGAAGTGTAGATACATGTAGTATTACATGTACTGCAATAATTATTTTCAATAGGTCTTTCTTTGTTAACTTGAAAAAATGCACTATTCCATCCTAAAATGTTTTCAACTATGAAAACATTTTTACACCTTCTTCTGTGCCTATCCCAAAGTTGCGGGGTATTATTATCATAGTTTACAACTGATTATACGTCAAACGTATACGACAAATGTTTATTAAAATTAATTAAAATTAATAATAGTAATTGGCTATGAGTTGATTTATAGCTTTGAGTTTTCCACCTGTACACTGATGATTATTCGTGTCTCGAACTTGATTCTAATTGATTTTCATGGTCAAATTTTAAGAGTCAAGGACACACTTAAAGATCAAAATTTGTGAGTGAAATAAATTGTTTAAATATTGTTGATTTTATGGTAGGATGGTCCAAATACAGTATACAATACGTACCTCTTAAACCCTGAGAAGTTTATTGTGTGTAAATCTTGATTATAAGGCATAGGTACAGTCATAGATGTAGTGTGTGTCATACACAGGTACAGTTGTGGATGTTGTTTATAAGGCACAGGTACAGTCATGGATGTAGAATAAAGTGTGTGTACTGGACAGGTACAGTCGTGGATGTTGTTTATAAGGCACAGGTACAGTCAGGGATGTAGAAAAAATTGTGTGTATTGGACATGTACAGTCGTGGATGTTGTTTATAAGGCACAGGTACAGTCATGGATGTAGAATAAAGTGTGTGTACTGGACAGGTACAGTCGTGGGTGTTGTTTATAATGCACGAGTACAGTCAGGGATGTAGAATAAAGTATGTATATATGCACAGGTACAGTCGTGGATGTTGTTTATAAGGCACAGGTACAGTCAGGGATGTAGAGTTAGATGTGTGTACTGGACAGGTACAGTCGTGGATGTTGTTTATAAGGCACAGGTACAGTCATTGATGTAGAATAAAGTGTGTGTACTGGACAGGTACAGTCGTGGATGTTGTTTATAATGCACAGGTGCAGTCATGGATGTAGAATAAAGTATGCATATATGCACAGGTACAGTCGTGGATGTTGTTTATAAGGCACAGATACAGTCAGGGATGTAGAGTTAGATGTATATACTGCACAGGTACAGTCAGGGATGTAGAATAAAGTGTGTGTACTGGACAGGTACAGTCGTGGATGTTGTTTATAAGGCACAGGTACAGTCATGGATGTAGAATAAAGTGTGTGTACTGGACAGGTACAGTCGTGGATGTTGTTTATAAGGCACAGGTACAGTCATGGATGTAGAAAAAATTGTGTGTACTGGACAGGTACAGTCGTGGATGTTGTTTATAAGGCACAGGTACAGTCATGGATGTAGAATAAAGTGTGTGTACTGGACAGGTACAGTCGTGGATGTTGTTTATAAGGCACAAGTACAGTCATGGAAGTAGAATAATGTGTGTGTACTGGACAGGTTCAGTTGTGGATGTTATTTATAAGGCACAGGTACAGACAGGGATGTAGAATAAAGTATGTATATATGCACAGGTACAGTCGTGGATGTTGTTTATAAGGCACAGGTACAGTCAGGGATGTAGAATAAAGTGTGTGTACTGCACAGGTACAGTCAGGGATGTTGTTAATAAGGCACAGGTACTGTCATGGATGTAGAATAAAGTGTGTGTACTGGACAGGTACAGTCGTGGATGTTGTTTATAAGGCACAGGTACAGTCATGGATGTAGAAAAAATTGTGTTTTTTGGACAGGTACAGTCGTGGATGTTGTTTATAAGGCACAGGTACAGTCAGGGATGTAGAATAAAGTATGTATATATGCACAGGTACAGTCGTGGATGTTGTTTATAAGGCACAGGTACAGTCAGGCATGTAGAGTTAGATGTGTATACTGCACAGGTACAGTCAGGGATGTTGTTTATAAGGCACAGGTACTGTCATGGATGTAGAATAAAGTGTGTGAACTGGACAGGTACAGTTGTGGATGTTATTTATAAGGCAGAGGTACAGTCAGGGATGTAGAATAAGATGTGTATACTGCACAGGTACAGTCGTGGATGTTGTTTATAAGGCACAGGTACAGTCATGGATGTAGAATAAAGTGTGTGTACTGGACAGCTACAGTCAGGGATGTTGTTTATAAGGCACAGGTACAGTCATGGATGTAGAGTAAGATGTGTATACTGCACAGGTACAGTCGTGGATGTTGTTTATAAGGCACAGGTACAGTCATGGATGTAGAATAAAGTGTGTGTACTGGACAGGTACAGTCAGGGATGTTGTTTATAAGGCACAGGTACAGTCATGGATGTTGTTTATAAGGCACAGGTACAGTTATGGATGTTGTTTATAAGGCACAGGTACAGTCAGGGATGTAGTTTATAAGGCACAGGTACAGTCGTGGATGTTGTTTATAAGGCACGGGTGCAGTCATGGATGTAGAATAAAGTGTGTGTACTGGACAGGTACAGCCGTGGATGTTGTTAATAAAGCACAGGTACAGTCATGATGTAAAATTTCTAGAGTTGTCTGGACAGTACAGCAGAATCTTATAGAGGTGGATCTAATAAAAATATTTACTTATACAAATATTTTCTTCGGATGTTATCGATAATTTTAGCATTAATTTCCTTTAATATGATCAATTATTTTAATACCATACCCTGCATATTACAGGTATCACACCACGGTTATCGACCAGTCAAGATGTTAATTGTTCCATGCATATAAAATTAATTTTTATTTCTTTTGAGAATTTTTTTTTTTTTTGGGGGGGGGGGGGGGATCTTCCAGCCTATATTTATAACTTTGATACCAGTGCCTAGTAAATTTTATGTACTTTGTAAATAAATAAAGGTGTTTTGTCAGGAACTATTCTTTTTCAGGGCATAGAAGGCTACTTCCTGGGGTGCACTTGAGATGTTTATATATAACACATTGAAAACGCGTGAATCAGCCCATTCCACCCGCATATATCGTAAGACATACAAATGTATATTTATGGGGGAAAAAACCCTGTGTTTTTCATTGACACCACTTGCGTGATCAATGAAATGGGTGAAATTAATAATATTGTGACGTACTTATACTTTCTAACATAAAATTAAGGATTGCAAATTAATTCCAATATTTATTTTAATTTCCTTTTTTATTTTACTTTGTTTATTGTTTACTCATATATTTTCTATAATTATACTAGAATGTTTCATTTTAAATTCATCATTATTATTGAGCACGTAGGATATTGAAATCATGCCTCCAGCCCCCCCCCCCCCCCCCCAAAAAAAAATAATAAAGACCTGGTTCATATTGTTTTCTGAACATAAAGCTTTAAAAGTTTTGGATCTTTCCCTAATCACTGCTGACATCGTTTGTCTCGGTATCACTGTCATGGGTAATATAAAGATTAGCGTTAATTGCGTTTTGATTAATTCAGTCTAAATCTAAATCGGAGAAAATCCACAGAATTTTTTGCTGTGGATGTTATTAATCAAGCGCGGGTTGAGTCAGTGGTAGTGTGTATGTACGGCACAGGTACAGTCGCAGATGTTGTATATCAGGCACAGGATACAGTCATAGATATACAAAATGTACGCTGTAGTAAATGTTACTTTTTAGAGATTATAGCGATCCATACAATGGATTTAGGCATAGTCAAGCTTACATATATTTTCCGCGATATATTCACTAAGCCAGTTATCGTTACCGTTTTGGCGATTACAGCCTTCCATAAAGTAGATTTATTTAAAATCAAATTTTCTTTCCTCCATATTAACACATTTCGTATTTTTCATTAAAAAACAATCCATACTTAATTAACATCATATAGTTTAACATGTTGAACAATCCGGAAAATCTTGCTCTGACATTCCGTTTTTGATATTAGTGAGCAGGTACAGTCATGGATGTCCGGTACCAGCACTGCCGAGTACAGTTGCGGATGTTACCTGACAGACCCCACTCGATCCACTCATTATTCAACCAAGTTTAATTTGTTATACTGGGCACTGAGGTGAAGATAACACTGTTTTTCTTATGAATATACGTTTGTTAAAGCTTCTTTTAATTCATAATTTCAATATTGTAAATATTTTTTACCATATATTTTAAAATTGGTTGCCCAAAGAGCTAACTTTGACCTTCAAGATGGCGGCCAAGGGGAATAACTCCGAGGAAAAATACGTCATAGGAAAACCATCTATAACTATAGACATTCATATACATCAGTTCGTCTGGTACGGGGTGAAATATTTGCTTTCCCACCTTCTCAGTTAATTAATTTTGTATCATTTTAAAAATAGAGCAGCTTGTTTATTAACAAAGATGTATCAACTATTTATAAGAGCACCTGAAATCTGTGATGTTGTATTTTGATGACTTCATATTCCCATTTTTGGAGACATTCCCTATATGTTTACTAGAGAATCTTAACAAGTAGAGAAAAAATAAATAAAATAATGCCATTACTTGCACTAGTCAACAAAAGTTTGTTTTTTTTTTTTTGTTTTTTTTTTTAATTTATATATATATATATATATATATATATATATATATATATATATATATATATATATATATATATATATATATATATATATATATATATATATATATATATATATATATAAAATGTATAATGTGATATTGAAGTTCAATTCAAGCTTATTAGTATTTCTTTATAGAAGATAAATAACACAGGGGAAAACGATCCAGGGTTTGAAGGGATATAACGTCAGAAAATTGAAGAATCTGTTGTGGTATACTATCATCTCCCTCCCAAAGGAATCCGTTTTAAATTACACTTACGATGTTATAAAAGTCAGACCTTTGATATCCGGATTCATCAGTTGATACATATCTTTAAAAATGATCATTGTCTAGACAAAGATCCCACTCGAAGCTTATTGTGTTAGCGTTTTGACAGATTATGTGTACTAAAGCACGTTTAATGTTCTAACAGCTATGATGCAACTAGAATATGCTTCTCAACTGGATAATAATAATTTGGAGTATTTGTTTGTTTGTTTTTATAATTACTTTATTTCTTTATTTTTATGAATTCTTATTTATTTATTTATAATTATTTATTTATTTATAAATATATACTTTTGTTCAGTCACAAAACTCTTCTCTTTAAAAAAAAAAAATCATGAAACTTTTAGAAGGTAAGAACCTGCGCCTACACAAAGATGCAATGTTTGTGCTTCATGTGAATTTAAAGTGAAAAAGAGTTGAAAATGAAATTCATATGAATTTGAAATTCACATTTGGCCTGTTCTTTCCTCGTAAAGATATCGGGGGAAATATGGGTAATTCTAATTCTATGCTCTATTTATTTTTGTTCTATTTATCTATGTGCTATTCACGTGAAATATTTCATCAGAAACTCAATTGAGGCACATAAGCCTTTATATGTGGAGATTTTCCTTACAAATTATATGTATTTTTAAGAACTCTCTGCAAGTAAAAATCAATACTTTTGCACATCTTGTAACACATATTATCGTTTCAAATTACAAGATTAAATATTTGTGACTCAAAATTTAAACAAATGTTCCTAATTCCTGTAGCCCCTCTACGTTTTTCACGACAAAACTATAATGTCTGTCTTTCCTTGGAAGTTGTTATTGGAAATCAAATTTGGTTTTGAATCAGTGCACCAAAATCTATAATCATATCAACACATCCTTAACTGAATGCCAACTTGATAAAACTGTTTAAGGGTACATGGCGCCTGTTAATATTTAATTTATATTGGTGTATCTGAGGGTGTGGAGACCGTTCCCTTTTCTTTGTTTTGATCCCAGTGTTCTATTTATCTGTTTGGTTGACTATATCTCCATTATCTCGTTTGTGAACAGCTGACAGAAGTCTTGGAAGTTCTTGCAGCTAAAAGCTGAAGACCAACAATTTATCCGGAGACTTCTAAGTGACACATCTTATTAAAATAACTGTCAAATGTCTTTCCTTTTTATGAAACAGCGTTTTTATTAGAATTAAACATTATTTAACCTTTAAACCGACCAGACGATTCAATAAAGTATACTTTCTCGGAATAAACTTTGACGTCTCGTTACTTCTTTATATTAGTTACTTTTAAAACAGGAATCTAATCATTTGGTGCGTATTTTCTGAAAATGTGCAGCTACCATTGTTGAAAAAATTTAGTTTTTAAATTGAACAAGATAACCAGTAATGATTTAAACATTTCCCCTTTTTGTTAATATCCACACTTACATTTTCAGGATATATACATTTTAATCAAGTTCAGGTCATTAAGAATTTGCAGGGGGACACTCTTTTTATGACAGGTTGAAAGAATGCTGATGGTCATTTTCTTTATTTTCAAAATCAGCTCCAGGTCATGAAGCAATAGCGTTCTATATGAGAATGCTAAATTTTTCAATTCCTTAGATGCTTTGGTTAATGGTTATGGATAACTCTTTCTATATTTCAGGTTGTAAGAATGCTGATTGTCATTTTCGGAGTCTTTGCAATCCTGTGGATGCCTTACAGAGTTATGGTGGTCTATAACTCTTTTGCGAGTACAAAATACAAGGATCCTTGGTTTTTATTGTTTTGTCGAATTATGGTTTACATCAACAGTGCCATAAATCCCATCCTTTATAATGCCATGTCTGTCAAATTCAGAAGAGCTTTCCAAAACATACTATGTTGTGGTGAGTGACAGTCAATTCTATGTTGTGTGGTGAGTGACAGTCAATTCTATGTTGTGATGAGTGACAGTCAATTCTATGTTGTGTGGTGAGTGACAGTCAATTCTAGGCAGTGGTGAGTGACAGTCAATTCTATGTTGTGGTGAGTGACATAACAATCTTATATTGTGTTGAGCGACAGCCAATTCTTTGTTGTCTAATGAGAGACAGTCAATTCTATGTTGTGGTGAGTGACAGTCAATTCTTTGTTGAGGTGAGTGACAGTCAATTCTTTGTTGTCTAAATAATATAAAATTGACTGTCACTCACCAAAACATAAAATTGACTGTCACTCACCACACAACAAAGAATTGACTGTCACTCACCACAACATAGAATTGGCTGTCACTAACCACACAACATAGAACTGACTGTCACTCACCACCACAAAGTGTGGTGAGTGTCAGTCAATTCTATGTTGTGGTGAGTGAAAGTCAATTCTTTGTTGTCCAGTGAGTGACAGTCAACTCTATGTTTTGGTGAGTGACAGTCAATTTTATCTTTTGTGGTGAGTGTCAGTCAAGTCTATGCTTTATAGTGAGTGACAGTCAATACTATGCTGTATAGTGAGTTACAGTCAAGTCTATGTTGTGTGGTGAATGACAGTCAATTCTATGTTGTGTGTTGAGTGACAGTCAATTCTATGTTGTGTGGTGAGTGACAGTCAATTCTGTTGTGTGGTGAGTGACAGTCAATTCTATGTTATAGTGAGTGACAGTCAATTCTATGTTGTGCGGTGAGTGACAGTCAATTCTATGTTGTGTGGTGAGTGACAGTCAATTCTATGTTGTGTGGTGAGTGACAGTCAATTCTATGTTGTAGTGAGTGACAGTCAATTCTATGTTGTGTGGTGAGTGACAGTCAATTCTATGTTGTGTGGTGAGTGACAGTCAATTCTTTGTTGTAGTGAGTGACAGTCAGTTCTATGTTGTGGTGATTGACAGTCAATTCTATGTTGTGTGGTGAGTGACAGTCAGTTCTATGTTGTGTGGTGATTGATAGTCAATTCTATGTTGTGTGGTGAGTGACAGTCAATTCTATGTTGTGGTGAGTGACAGTCAATTCTATGTTGTAGTAAGTGACAGTCAATTCTACTTTGTGGTAAGAGACTTTGGTGAGTGTTTTTTTTACCAAAAACCCATCGCCATACTGTGTTTATGTAATTGACTATAGTTAATACTGTGCTATGGTATGTATCTGTGGCTCAAACTCTGTCGTGGTGACTTTTACTTATACTTTGTGGTAAGTGAATATTATCTAAACTATGTTGTGATACCAGACTATAGCTCAAACTTTGTCGTGGTTAATGACTTCGGTCTATCTTGTGGTAAGCGTGTACTTTGTTATTGTACTGAGAAGGTGTCTGTAACTTAGATTTTGTTGTCCTTAAAAACTATGTTCAAACTTTGTCATGACTTTGGTCCATATTGTAATTACTACAATTTGGTAACTTTGGCTTACATTATGATGCGATAAGTGGTTATATCTCAAATTTTGTAGTGGTAACTGAATAAGGCTAATATATTATTTAATGGTCAATCTTATATTATTCTATCGTTTACAATGAACTTAAACCCCCTTATAAACATGTATGGTAGACAATTGCAGAAAAAGGTAGCAATGTTTTATGTCCCTGAAATCTAAGACAGATGTAATACTAGATACAAAAAAGTAACTACACTATTAAATATGATACAACCGTTGCTATATGCTTCTCTGTAAAAAGCCAATCTTCAATAATTAAGAAGGAAATTTAATACTTGAGAAACCCAATGCAAGAATTTTTCTACTAAAAGCTTGATGTATTCAAATCATTTTTCTCAAGAGAGAAATCACATCACATGCACTTGAAATCACTTCTTGACATCTAGGTTGCCATAGAAAAGAGATTAGTTTGAGTTACCCTGACGACATATGCGGAATTGTGCGATTTCTGAAATTAGAATGAATGCTGTTTTAGTTTGCTGATAGATGGCTTTTGTCTTTAAGAGTCATATGTACTCTGTCAGAAATGCTTGGGCTGACTTTAGAGATGGACGGAAGAGATTGTTATTATATCAGTCTTGTGAATATAAAAAGTAATGGCCTTTAAAGGATAAAATTTAGAAACGCTATAAATTTGAATTGACTTTCATTGCAGATCAAAAATGTTCACATCGTATTGTAGACTTGAGTTCATTCTTTTTAGTTAATGATAAATGAAAATGGATTCAATGATTATATACTGAAAAGGCAGAAGATATTCAAAAGATTTATTGACGTACAATTCTATTTAGCAGCAGTTTGGTTTAAGCTTTGAAATTACAGATAGATTTTGCACTAACGATTATATATTATTTTTTCTGGAGCTGAAATTTGTCACTCTAATTAGGACTACTAAAAATGTATCCAATCCTATAAAAATTGTGCCCACGTATAAAAGAAAATTAATTACATTGTTTCTCTAAGGGGTTGGGTAGTTGCATGAAATTTACACCAATGCTATTACTAATTTTAACATTATATATTTGCAGGATTTGAGAAGTTACATGAAATTTACGCCAATGCCATTACCAATTTTAACATTATATATTTGCAGGGGTTGGGAAGTTACATGGAATTTAAGCCAATACCATTACTATTTTTAACATTATATATTTGCAGGGGTTGGGAAATTGAAGCACGGATCTGATGCCTATTCAGAATACACGATGGACCAACGAGCAGCCATCAGACTCAACAACTGCCCGGGTATGGAAAAGTCCTATCTCCTCATGCCGCCTAATTCTAAAAGAAAAAACCAATCTATGGAAAGCATAACACTGACTGAAAGTGACGGTGGTCGGACTGCCATCTGACAAGGTGCGTGCCAGTGGTGAACATAGGCTAGGCTAGTACAGGTCAGTGACACGTGGACTCCGGGAGGAGATGATTAGATGGTCAGGACTGTGAGAAACCCTGGCGATTTTGTCACATTTAAGTTGATTTATTTTTCGCGAAATGATCGTTGAGAAGGAAATAGGTTCTTCGATTTCTACTGAGAAATAATATGAACAAACAGTGATCCATCCTCCGTCTCCAGAAGAACAGAGCACCATTTTGAACGAGAAATGGGATTAATTACTTAAGTTATTATGGTGGTGATATTATGTTTGATATTTCTTAATAAAAATTGGTAACAATACCAGAGTCGCTATTTGTCAAGGCCAGTACATAATAAGATCAATTTTCTTCTTATTATAAATTGAATGCATGTGAATTTATTCCATTATTAACTTCAACAGAGTTATGACCAGAATATGTCTTTCAATTATGTAAAATCAATCAAAAAAATGAATCAACCGATTGTGTTATACATAATTAATCTTCCGTGCTTTTTTGGGCGTGTGTGTGTGTGAGGGTGTGTGTGTGTGTGTTTTTTGTTTTTTTGTTTTTGTTTTTGTTTGTTTTTGTTTGTTTGTTTGTTTTGTTTTGTTTGTTTGTTTGTTTTTTTTTTTTTTTTTTTTGGTTTTTGTTTTGTTTTTTGCAAAAAAGCAGAAAATAATGGAAAGGGCTTTTAGGGTTCTCTTTCTACCAAATGTATTTGGAAGAACAGTGTTGTAATCAAACAATGGGACATGATCGATGTTTATTGAAATCGAGTTAGCGACATCTGTTCCTTCAGCAAGGGACACTAATCCCTTGAAATTATCTGAAAATATCAGAGATGGGATCAGGTGCCATGGAGGAATAAGCATTCCCTGTCGACCGTTCACGTCCGCCGTGTGCCCCTTTTCATGGTCGGGTAAACGGAGAATCTGTTGACAATTCAGTATGAAAAATTGGCCAAACAATTCGTATGAAAGATGTCAGTCAGCATTCGACCTAACTACAGATTGTATTTGCAAAGAAGTTCATTGTATCCATCATAGAATTTGCAAAATGGGGACTTAAATTGAGATTATTGATACCCTTGTACCGTCAACTTCTTTGTCACTAACCTGCCTCGTTTTAGAAATTATCTTACATAGAACATGCCTTTGCGAATCGAATCAACTGGGAGACTTTAACTCCATATGCAACTGATAATGGTTTGTTTATTTTGTTTGTTTGTTTATTGTTTAACGTCCCTCTCGAGAAATTTTCACTCATATGGAGACACCACCACTTGCCGGTGGAGAGCTGCAAATTTTGACCTATACTCGGCACTTAGGGCCATTGATCAGTGAGGGATCTTTTTCGTGCCAGCACCTACTGCGACACGGGACCTCGGTTTATACAGTCTCATCCGAAGGACCGGTCTCCACGTCCTACAGTGGGATGAACTCCTTAGTACGTAAATGGGAGTTGATGTCAGAAAAGTTGAAGTCATCACGTTTATCACGAAGTTTAGTTGTTTATAGTTTGTCGTCAATGTCCTTCTCTAGAAAAAATGCAAATATGAAACACATATGTCAGACTTTGTGACATCTTATTTTTTTCGAATTTAGTGGGATATATTGAATCAATTTATGAATGAAACTGAATATTGTTATTTAATAAAACGTTCGTTATCTAAATGTCGAATTGAAAGCCACAGCAAAAGACTTCTTCTTTTATGTAGAAGTTTTTGAATGAAATATGCTTCATAGGTCTGTTGATAATGGAACACATTTAATACACCTAGAAAATCCTACAGATTGTTGGAAGACCCTGGTCTCCAAAAACTACATAGATATTGTCGATGAGAAACTATGAGGCATATTTTTAATACGATGAGGAACTATGAGGCATATTTTTAATACGATGAGGAACTATGAGGCATATTTTTAATATCAACCTAAGAATATATCAAAAGTAGAATCATAATAGTTTTATACCACATAGGTTTGTAGAAGATAAATGAAACAATATGAAAATTTGCGAGTTCAATTGTTATTGAAGAAGCAATTGTCTATGATGAAAAGCTTGGTTTTTAATTTATCGTGGGGAATAGTTGTATAAAGTGTTGATAATTCGTACGTTTTGATGCTATTGATTTTGGCAACATTTTATGATTCCAATTTTTTTTAGTATCCCTTTGAGAGATTGAAAAAAAGGTTTTGTAGAACATATGCTTGATCCCGCTATGTATTTTTGTTTGTGGGGATTTTCCTGAAGTTTAGGAATCTAGTATAGGTATTTCTTGTTAACGTTCAGTAATCAGTTGATATATCTAACTGTCATAGCTTTATTATGAAATAACAATCACGTTTGGGAACATGAATCTCTGGGAAGTTTTATGTTTCCAAAGATATTTGGGTTTTTTTATATGTTCATTAATTATGATGCAGTTTAGTAACAAAATTGATGATGGCTTCCGTTTGTTTAGAAGATGTACTACAATAGCCGTTTTATGAATAGCTTTGCAAAACATTAAAACATTTTTACATCGTAAAATAGTTGGAGACCACTGGTTTATTTAGTTAACTTGTTTCTACTCGTCGTGTGACAAAATACCACTGCAGAATTTCATCTAGGCCTAATTATGAGGAAATTGCCTCTTGTGCATCGACAATGGCGCTTTATTTAATATTTTATCATCAGTTGTCATACATGTAGTATATAATGATTAGGTAGACTTAGTCTCTTGAGAGTTACATCTGTCAATGTGACTTCTAATCAAACTTGTCATCATCGATGTGAATCTCATACTGGTCCCGTTCTGTAGAATAATCGTAAAGATTCAAAACATCAACAAAAATTATTGACACGCAAAGCAACATTTCTTTTTTTGTTTTCTACAGAGCTATTTTACAAATTTGAGACTTAATTGTAACAACCAATTATCACAAAGTGTCTGGCATATATCTATCTGTGCTAGGCTGCCCTGTATTTCGGGTAATCTGTGTCTAGGGAAATAAAATTTAGCTTAGTTGCAATGAAACCAATTGGCATCTATAACGAAATGGATTATTTGACAGTGTTTTGAAATGTACGGTGACCCTGAAGCATTCCATCTGGTGAACAATTGAACATTATTGCAAAAAGAAAGGGGAAGAATATTGTTCATAAAAAAAAAACAATTATCTTTATAATAAAATTTTTATTTGATAAACAAGCATTTACATTTATATGACCTAAAATCACCGTCTGAATTGGCTATCAATGAAAGTTTTAAAAAGAGCAAATAGAACATCATCCTTTAGAATTTGAGATTTATTTCTTGACACCCTTGCTCTTGCAGAAAGGGAGTCTTTATCGTCCCAGCGCTCCGAAACTTTCACATACAACACTGAGCGAGTGGCGATGGAACAGTCATTGCCTTGGCCAAGCCGGGAGTACACCTTATGATCTTCTGAACACTACTTGACACAAGACTGATTCTTACAACTCGATCATGATTTCAAAAAATCGAAATATAGACCTATGGGCTATTGTATCAATTGATCTCAATACAAAAAACCATGCATATGATTTCTTCTGGATCTGCAATAAATCTTTTTTTTTTTTTCTTCTAAAATTTCTATTTTGGTCACAGAAACACCAATGGCTCAGTGTATGTGGCTCCATTTGAACGTTTGTCTTTAGAACTCTTTATATTTTGGTTTTAAAGAAATTTATTCTCTTGTGACATGCTTAAATGAGCAATAAAATAACACGTATATTTTGGATTTACTTAGAGGAAATAAATTTACTATTGTTATCATGACGTACATTTTGCATTTACCTCCATATAGTAAATTTAAAATTTTGAACATGAAAGAGGTTTTGATTGTGGTAAGTGACCCTATATTTCCTAAATGATGAGGTTAAACTCAAGCAGGCTTATTCCCAGGTCGCTAAGATTCCTATATTGTTCAAACTCTCATGAACGATGACAGTAAGGATACGTATTATTCATGATTTGAATTCTGAACGTGACCTATATTTTCTGGATGAGTGATCAGGTAGATAGTTCCATACAGATCCATTCCAAAGTCTAAGTCTTACATAGACCGTCACGGTAGCTCAGTGGGTAGAGCGCTCGCTCCGTGATCGGAAGATCGTGTGTTCGAATCACGGTCACGACTGACCTAAGTCGATGAAAAGTAGATAGCAACTGTTCCTTCGCCAAACGCTCGGCACTTTGAAGTGAAAGTTGCGGGTCCTTCGGAAGAGACCTTAAAAACCGAGGCCCCGTGTCACGGTAAGCGTTGGCACGATAAAGAACCCTCACTGCTCAATGGCCCTGAGTGCCGAGTAAAGGTCTAAATTTGAAGCCCTTCACCTGTATATTGTGACGTCTCTGTATAAGTGAAAAATTCTCGAACAGGACGTAAAACAACATAAAATCAATCAATCAGACGCTGCATGTGACCTACCCTGATTTATTTCAGAGTAAAACGATTAAAGTTCTGAGAGTACTGTTATTCTCGAGCACTTGCAGTTCTATTGTTGAACAAAAGAGCATGCGATGACATGCTTCGGAAGCTGCAGGTACCTATATTCCCTGCATGATTAATAAATTAAAGTTATTTAGCTGGTCACTTAAGAATTATTACAAAAATAAACAAATCGTGCATGAGTGATAATATTTATGATGGGCACTTTGTTTCGGATGTTACATTTACAGGAACGTTTAAAGTCTTAAAGTAGACAAATCCTTACCTGACCAAACTTGCATATATAATGCATCAACAATACCAGGTAATACCTCGGATGCTGTACATGTATATAGCCTTTGTTTTTCATATACGTGATCGAGTTTTTTTTCTGAAAGAGGTCAATTCCCAAATAATTTCAATCTTAAAATGCCAGATTTAAGTAGTTGTTGCATCAGGGAGTAAAGCATTCATGTTTCAGATCCTACATTTTACGGCAATCGAAAAATGGTTTTAATAGAAAGGCACCTTTTGTGCTATCAATTTTTTGCCTTCTAAACGGAAAAAGGGAATTGAATCTTTGCGAAGAACATCTTAAATGGCAGCTGTAGAAATGGTTCTTCTAGTGAATTATAAATCCAGTGTTCTGAAAGTCGAGCATCATGGGTATTGTACTCTGTTTTTGAGTCTCGCTATAAAACCATTTCTTTAGGTAGCATTTCATTTACTTTATCTTTTTTCTTATCTTTCTTCTCTTTTTCTTTTTTTCTTTTCTTTTTTATTGGGACAAAAAGATTTCAATTTTAGTGCAAAAAATCGGAGTGAAGAATTTTTTTCATGCATTAATTATTGGCAAAAACTTTCCAGAGTTTATTGCAATT